TGACATTAACTGCTTTTTATTCCAGTATTTATCAAACTAAATAAATTGTGCTCTATTAGCTTATATTTAGAAATAAAACATCTTTATAATATGACTTTGAGATCTTAAGGTATTGGGAAGACACATTTGGGATAGGCAAACATTGCAGGAAGGACTGGCTGGCTAACAGCTATTTTAAAATTTGTCTTTTGTTGCCCTCTGGCGGCTGAACGTTTTCCTCACCCCTGGCCCCACTATACACCCCATTTTTCCCTCTTTTTCTTCCTTCCTTCCTTCCTTCCTTCCTTTATTTCTGCTTTCCCTTTTAACTTCTTTGCTGTGGCCAAGGAAAATACTTTAATTAAAGTCAATTAAAGTCAGTACTAAGCGTCAAGTAGCAGTGTCCACTGAAAACAACTGTAAATGAGCAAATGGAGCTGTAATATCTCTTAATGGATTACAAGTCTGTGGTTTCCTTTTTCATTTAAACTGCACAGATTTCTCAGCTATGACAAATAAGAGCAGTCAAAAGTAATTCTCATTTTTAAAAAAGTCTAACTTATATTTGAATTAGCTAAGCAAATCATATGACTAAAAAGTAGCTGGGAGCTTGGGAACATGTGAATACAATTAGCATTGCAATGATTTAAATTGGTTTGTAGGATCCTTACAACAGTAAGAGAAATTGACTACCTATGATTGCAAAGACCTAAAACCTTCCCAAATGCCTGATTTACCTGGAAAAAGAAAACAAAGTACCATTTGTTGTAGACTACCGCCACCTTGTGGGCTAAGATAGAGGTAATGAAGGTGGTGAATTTTTTAAGGTGGAATTTTTTTTCTAGTACTACAAAATTCCTATTTATAATAAAAAGAAATTTAACAATTGTAAAAAGAGCATATGTCACAATTCTAGTAACATACTTATTACCAAATAATTCGGTTAAAATGTCAAGAAATATTTGATTAAAATCATGACCAGCGAGCATAGTTTATTTCTCTGGTCCCAATTTCATACCAAGTCATCTTGAGAAAGTTAATTAGCCCTTTAAGGTTCGCCTCTGTTATGGTTTTTAAGACAGTAGATTAGAAAGATTCTTCACTCTGATCTTTAAATGCACAAGTTTCCAGCTTTATAGAAATCTTGTGCCCAAATAGAATTAATACTTTCTCAGACTTCATATTTATTAAACTCACAGCCTGCTTAAACAGACGTTTTCTTTCTGATTTTCAAATTAGGTTTAAAAAAATTCACTTGTCCGATGTTGACTTCTGTGCATATGTGCTCTAAAGGGAGACTAATGCCAACCAGCTTTCCCATTGCTAATTGGCAAAGCGTGAGGTATGAGCTCTGAATCAAAAGCCTTCCATGGTTATGAAATGTGCTCATTAGCTGTTGCTCTAGACAATATTTACACTCAAACAATCCTAATAGCTCCTCCATATTGCAGCTGCCTGTGGGGTGCTCTCTTTGATGAAGACTTCATGAGACTTATTCTGTGTCTCTACCCTGTGGGTCCTTGGGATGAGCCAACACTCATGTGTAGACTGAGGTGAACATTTTCATTCTTCGTTCTCTTTAAAATCCACATGGGTTTTTTGTTTTGTTTTGTTTTGTTTTGTTTTTTCAGGGACTCAGTCTGTCCAGAAAGGACAAACATTCTTTTGACAAACTTTTCATTTTGAGGTGAATGGTTTTAAGGTCATCTCTGCAAACTACAAAACTATGTGTTCAAATCTAGCTGTTAAACTGTGTTAAACTCTACAGGTTCGCATACGAAGAAACATACTCTATAGGAAGGAAGCCAGAAATACAAAGAGCAGGGGTTAGCACAGCACAGGCATTTATTTCTGCATGCCTGTACACAGTAACACTGTGAAACTTCCTACAAGGACATTTCCATTGTCACCATGGAACCCTATGACCTTGCTTCTTCACTCAAATAGAATATTTTCCTCCAGTTTATATTTTACTTATAAATATGTGCATATGGTATATGCTTGTGTGCCAAAAGCCTCAAGCACCCGAAGAGTGCTGGCCTTAAAATGTTAAATGGGTCTCAGACTCTTCTGAATGTGCAGTTTTTCAGTTTAGTAACTGGCAACTCCAACACCCATGTCTCTGTTGAAGCGATTAACGAAGAATCATTTCCCAGAACTACAGGTGCACAACAGATTGAAGCCATTATGCAAAAGAACAGAAATCTGGAGAGAAACACAGAGAATATAAAAGCCATGTTCCTGGCAGCCCTCCCCCACCCCCAACTCTGTGCTTTTTTTTTTTTTTCCAGCCCTATTTGGATACAGAACATGAAATATGAAAAAATTATAATGGATTTGAAGCAACCCCTTTGAGATTCAAAATGTACTCCCAAATGAAAATACCTTCCAATAAGAACACACGTGAAGTAGAAATGGGCTCAACGACAAGCTTTGAAAGCTGAAGTTTCTGGGGGAGAGTAGATAGACTGAAATATATTACACTTTGATTTTTCCGGTGGTCTTGTGCATTTCCCTTCCCGCCGCCTCAACTTACGGAGATCACATATACACTAAGGATCTAGTAGAACTCCAGCCCCTTAGCCCTGCCTCAAGTACCTTGGGTGTTCACCCCCTAACTTTTGGTTGGGTTTTTTTTTTTTTGCTTTGCTGCATTCTTCTAAGCAAGGAAGAGGTTTGTATTGCAGTCGCACTGCTGAACTTCAACCGTAGTTTGTATTTGTTCGCACAAGTGTCTAATCTTGCTTGTTGGCAAACAAGAGAGAACAGACAGGAAGGAAGTCACACAAAATGGAATGATAAGACAAAACAGCATAACAGAAAATGGAGATGCCTCTCAAACAAAGTGGGCCGACTGGGAACTTGGGCCACTTTCAGGAAAGCCCACTTGTGAAGCAGGCTCTTGCACACAGTTAGGCCCCCACAAGGCATCAGACAAATGAATGGGGCCCACTCCAGACTGTGGGTGTCATTTAAACTGAAGAATGCCATCAAGAGGCCGAAAGGAAGGAAGGCAGATAACATCTAAGTTTCCTGGGGGAAGCTCAAGCCTGCTTGATTCTCCTAGTTCAGCTATGAGTGTGACCTTAAGACGCCAAAATTAGATTTGAGACAGGGCTCCTTCGGTGGGTACCAGCAGCAGGAAGTGTGTTAGCAATTTGGAGGAGGTTGAAGTAGCCTTGTTTCTGGCACGCACTTGCTCTTTTTTCTTTCTTTCTTTCTTTCTTTCTTTCTTTCTTTCTTTCTTCCTTTCTTTCTTTCTTTCCTTCCTTCCTTCTTTTTTTTTTTTTTTTTTTTCATTTGATCTTCCCTGGAGTAGGAAACAACGTTTTTGTTTATATTTTTTTCATGTAGGCTATCTAGAACCCTGGGAGAAAAGACGTTGGAAAGTATCCTGGCAAAAACTTCTGGAAGAGGGACAAGGACGCCTTGGAGGACTCCAAGGGACTGTCTGAGGCCCGCAGAGGAGGAGCAAAGGGGACGTGATCAACTAAGAGCGGTTGGAGCAACAGATGTGGGTGGGGCAGCAAGTTAGGAGCCCAGAACAGAGAAGAGCTCGGCGGTGTGAGCGCGCCAGGCTGCCTCGGGACTGGAGCTGTCCTTCTCCACATTGTCTTAGTGCCTTTCCGCCAGTGAGAGCATTGTGAACCATTTCCTTCCTCTGGGTCACGGAGCCCCTCCCTCTTTTTCAGTAGAGGAGCCTCTTGGCTCTTTCTTAGCGGCCCCGGGTAGAAAAGGCTCAGCTTTTGTCGCTTTCGTAACGCGGATGCAGCCTTTCCCTTCCCGGTAGGAGGAACCCGATTTCCTCCTCCCCGCACCCCCGTTTTCGCCCTGGTAATAAAGTGGGGCTCTTAGACGCATCTGTCCGCCTGGACTGCGGCCTGCAGCAGCTGCTGTTAGATTTTGGAAGGACGTGGACTGGGCGGGAGCTACTTCTCCAGTGAAGAACAGTACAAGTCCCTTCTCAGTCTCCAGGGAACCGAAGCTGCCTCCAGATCGCCTATTCAGGAAAGAACCAGGACAAACCCCCCCCCCGCGCCCCCCAGACGTCTCTGAGATTTGAGGAAACTGTTAAGGTCGTTCCACGTGGATTTTTAGAATCCAGAGCCTTGAAGTGTCCCGTGGCTCCCTCACTCAAACACTCCTCCTGAGAAACACAGAGCCCAAGAAAAGCTGGGGGGGGGGGGGGGAGGAAGCCCAGGTACTTGTGAAAGGAAGGGTAGGAGAGAGATGGAGACGAGGAGAGCCTGTTTTAAAAGAAAGGGCAGCTTTAGCTCAACCGCACTTTGGGGAAGAACGAACTTCGAGTGGCGGGGAGTTGAGGGGCAGCTAAGGCGCAGGGGCATCTTGGTGAAGGATCTCTCCCATTCGACCCTTTCTGGTGGAGACTGCTGCCCAGGAGGGGCACAGGAAGGGTGACAGGAAGCAGGGTGGTCCAGGAATCTGCAGCCGAGAGATGATGTTAAAAGTTCACCCTTCTCCCCAGAGCAGCCCGGGCTGTACAAAGTGCTGGTCATAGCTCTGTTTCGGCGTCTTACACCCCCAGAGTGACGAGCGGTGGCGTGAGGCCAGCGCGGAGGCTGCCCCCTCCCCCTTCGGGCCCCGCGGCGCAGAGCGTGGTTTAGCACCAACTGAGATCAGGGGGCGGTGTCGCAGAGATGGGAGGGGGGGGGAGAAGGGAGGGTTCCTAAGTAGCTATAAAGGGGCTGCCTGGGCTGCCTAGATCTTGCACTCGCTGGGAAGCAGCTCAGAGCCAGGTGCTATTGCAAGCGGCAGAGCTCACAGCACCGCGGAGAGAGCAGATCCCTGCTCCGATCCGGGCACACTGCGGCCGAGGCGGAGGACTAAGAACCCAGGCTTCGTTCCTGGACCTGTCCCCCAGCCCCGGAGCGCTTCTCCAGCCTCCAGCAGCCTCTTGGCAGCTGCAACCGTGCGCGGTGCCTCCAACTCTGTGCCGGAATAAAACGTTCCCGCGCGCCGCCTGATCCAAAGCGCCTCTTTCTAAGTGACCGGGAGGGAGCTTTGGCTGCCGGCTCTGCGCGGACTTTCAGATCCAAGCGATCGTGAAGTTCAAGCATCCGGAGCCGGCCAGCGTCTAACCAGAGCAAGGCTTCGCTGCGCTGCAGTGTGGGTGTCATGCAGCCAGCAGTCCCTTTGGGGTCACGCAAGCAGGGGCCCCGCTCCGTCATGGGGCACGTCCAGCGTGCGGCTGAATCTCGGAGCCCTCCGTCTTCCCCCACGCCGCCGCCGCCGCTGCTGCTGCTGTGCGCTTCCGTAGTAATTCTGCTGTGTGTGCGGGGAGCACAAGGGCGCCCCGCGGAGGAGTACGAGGAGCTGGTGCTGCCTTCCCTGGAGCGCTCCCCGGGCAACGATTCCACCACGAGTCTCCGCCTGGACGCCTTTGGTCAGCAACTGCACCTGAAGTTGCAGCCGGACAGTGGTTTCTTGGCTCCTGGCTTCACCCTCCAGACTGTGGGGCGCAGTCCCGGGTCCGAGGCACAGCATCTGGACCCCACCGGGGACCTGGCGCACTGCTTCTACTCTGGCACGGTGAATGGTGACCCCAGCTCCGCCGCAGCTCTCAGCCTCTGCGAAGGCGTGCGAGGTGCCTTCTACCTGCACGGCGAGGAGTTCTTCATCCAGCCAGCGCCCGAGGTCGCCACCGAGCGTCTGGTCCCCGCCGTCCCGGAGGAGGAGTCACCCGCACCGCCGCAGTTCCACATCCTGAGGCGAAGGCGGCGGGGCAGCGACGGAGCCAAGTGCGGTGTCATGGACGACGAGACCCTGCCAACTGGCGACTCGCGATCAGAAAGCCAAGACCCCCGCAATCAGTGGCCGCCGAAAGACCCCACTCCGCAAGGCGCGCGAAAGCCAACAGGTATAAAGATATCCCCTCCCCCTCAACACACACACACACACACACACACACACACACACACACACACACACACACACTTAAATCTCCATCCACCTCTCTTCTCTACGAGCCGTGACTTGAGGGGACATTGTAGCTTGCTTCTGGACCTGAAGGGCTCAGAGCTGCCGTGGTTCTGGGTCGTGACTCACCCCCCCCCCATAGAACATTTATTTGCACAAATAGTTAATGATTTAAGAAGAGAAGATTCAGAGTTCTTGCAGATAAGGGGCTGAGTGTTTCCACCGGGAAGTGTGTAGCCCGATTCCTCACACTCCAGAATCTTTCCCCAGTCCTGTAATTCCTTTAGTGAATGTATGAGTTCACTTAGGCTAAGTTGTAGCTTCGCGCGGAGTTTTGTAAACTCGGTATGTGCGCGCAGCGCTCGCTCACAGGAGGGCGGATTGGAGGAGCGATGGTGACCTCGATGTGTGTTCAGGAACCTAGGCAACGGCGCAGCGATCTCCGTTCTGTGGGTTTCTGTCTCCTTCCCCTCTTTGAAAGGCTGACCCGGATGGTTGGCGGCGCCCGGGCCCCTGAGCAGAACCAGCTTGGGAGGTCTTTGCCCAACTCGCCCCGCCTCCGCGCGCCTCCTACCTCTGCCTGGGGACTTGCGCTCCCTCTCCCGGCCAAGGTTCTGCTCTCCAGCGCCGCCAGATGCAAGCCTAGGCTGATCCACACTTTCCCCTGCCGCTACTGTGTTCAGTACTTACTAAGCTGTTAGTTTATTTTATCGCTCAAATTTCTTTGTGTCCTTTTTCTCTTCCTTACGAGTCCCTTTCCAGATTTCTCCCCCTTTCCCGTCTGCTTCTGGGAACAGGTTGATGGGTTATAGCCCACTTTAAGACTTCTCTGACCGTTGAATCTCAGTCAGCCGTTGGAGGGGACCGTTTTCCAAATAGGCAACCCTGGTTTGAGACAGGAACTTGCTTTCCCCCGGGACAATGGGAGTGAGGGGGAGGCAGAAACAGACGGCTGGGCAGGGTGGGTGGTCCTAGTGCCCGGGACTGAATAGAGAAGCAAACCCCCAGGGACCCCTTGAATGAGAGAGCTTAACCCTGCAGACTGAGATTCCTCAAGTCCCGCCCCTTGGCAGAGGCCCCCCGCCCTGCCCTGTGCCTTCCACGTGGAGCAGGATGATCTCATTCAGGATTTCAGCCCTGGCTTCAATAGTGAAAGGGTGACTCAGGGCCCTCTGCCTGCTACCCTTGCCAAGTTTTTAGTACAGCTGGGTAGGATGATATCCATACTGCCTTGCTCAAGCTGTGGATTTTCAAAGGCCAGGAAAGAAACCCTGCTGACACATACATCGACAGTTTGATCACTCTAAAGGAGCCCATGTTGGTTGTTTTGTTGTTTTGTTGTTGCTGTTTTATTTAAAGCAAAACGAAAAGCTTTTAAAAATAGCATTGCCAGTTTTTAGAAGACGCAAATATTTGTTTTATTGTTATTCCAGGTATATTTCAGCTTTATTTACTTCCACGTGGTTAACTTTCCTAATATACTCCAGGAAGGTCACTATTCTGAGAGAGACTGACCACGAGCAAACTTTCTTTTTCTCTTCACAGGACCTGGAAGCATAAGAAAAAAACGATTTGTGTCCAGCCCCCGTTATGTGGAAACCATGCTCGTGGCTGACCAGTCCATGGCTGACTTCCACGGCAGTGGCCTTAAGCATTACCTCCTCACCTTATTCTCGGTGGCAGCCAGGTTTTACAAGCACCCTAGCATTAGGAATTCAATTAGCCTGGTGGTGGTCAAGATCTTAGTCATCTATGAGGAGCAGAAGGGACCAGAAGTTACCTCCAATGCTGCTCTCACCCTGCGGAATTTCTGCAGCTGGCAGAAGCAACACAACCCTCCCAGTGACCGGGATCCAGAGCACTATGACACAGCAATTCTTTTCACCAGACAGGTAAGACGAGATGGTACCAATCACTTTATCACCTGGTGGCATACCGATGGATGAAAAGGCCATCTCCTCTGTACTGCCTCATCAATTTTCTTTAAAGGGCTAGCTTAACCTGTCTTGCTTATTTCTGCTTTAATTTCAACGTCTCAACTCACACAGCGTTAGAGGAGGTCTTGCTTAAAGCGACATGTGGTCTTTCTCGGGATCCCACACTAATGAACGGAGAAGCTCCGAAGCACCTGTGAAGACTGGGCTGAAGAGCTGTTTCCCTTGGTTCTTTGTAGGATCTGTGTGGCTCCCACACCTGTGACACTCTCGGGATGGCTGATGTTGGAACTGTCTGCGACCCCAGCAGAAGCTGTTCAGTGATAGAAGATGACGGTCTGCAAGCTGCCTTCACCACGGCCCACGAATTGGGTAAGCTGGGTTCGGGGTCCAAGTTGAGCTCAGGGCATGGATTCAACGCAATAAGACAATTGGCAATTTTACATGCCCTGATCGAAGTAGATATTATCCCTGAAACAGGTTGTGTGCTCAGTATGTCCCTTCCTGCAGAAATGAGCTGCTTAGAAATGAGTGGGGCTTAATGACTGAGTCTTAACGTGGGTCTTGTTTGCTTCCCAGGCCACGTGTTTAACATGCCGCATGATGATGCAAAGCACTGCGCCAGCTTCAATGGTGTGAGTGGGGACTCTCATCTGATGGCCTCCATGCTCTCCAGCTTGGATCACAGCCAGCCCTGGTCTCCTTGTAGTGCCTACATGGTCACAGCATTCCTGGATAATGGCCACGGTAAGGCGCCAGCCGCTGGCTCTGGACGGTGTCCAGCCTTCCTCCTATAGGGTTGTACTTAAACGAGCTACATGGTTCTTGATCGGTTAGTTCATTTTCCCCTTTGCAGAATTGTTTTCTCTGTCTAGATCGTCAGTTGCAGATCTTTATCCTCAGGGCTTCCTGCTCCCCAAAATCTATGTATTCGTGTTTTGAACAGAATAATAACGTCTTGCCATTGTTAACCCACAAGTACACTGTTGAAGACAATGTCTTAATTAAAAAAAAAAAATCTCCCTGGCATCGGTTTTCCTAAAAAGTGCTACAATGGAAAGTAGCTATGTATTGTTTCACACAGCAAATACCTTGTAATGCCATAATCAGCCCATTTTGCATGTTTTCACCCGCTATGTATTAACAGTTGCCTTTTTGTGTGTGCTTATGCAGGGGAATGTTTGATGGATAAGCCCCAGAACCCCATCAAGCTCCCATCTGATCTCCCTGGCACCATGTACGATGCCAACCGTCAGTGTCAGTTTACGTTTGGAGAAGAATCCAAGCACTGCCCAGATGCGGCCAGCACATGTTCTACTCTTTGGTGCACTGGTACCTCCGGCGGCTTACTCGTGTGCCAAACCAAACACTTCCCTTGGGCAGATGGTAGCAGCTGCGGAGAAGGGAAATGGTGTGTCAGTGGCAAGTGTGTGAACAAGACGGACATGAAGCACTTTGCTGTGAGTTTTCCTAAGGAAACGCACTTGTTTACAACTCAGAACTGGAAAGAACAATTTGATAGTTAAGGTTCTTTGCCCAGACAACCTCCTCTGTCCCGTGTCCCATAGTGGGGATACAAGATGATAGTGTATTTTGAGCATTGATTCTCTGTTTTGCGTTTTCTCTAACTCCCTCAAAAGTCTCATTAGGGTTCTAACAATGACATTTTGTGCCTCCATTTAGACTCCTGTTCATGGAAGCTGGGGGACATGGGGACCCTGGGGAGACTGTTCAAGAACGTGCGGTGGAGGAGTTCAGTACACAATGAGAGAATGTGACAACCCGGTGCCAAAAAATGGAGGGAAGTACTGTGAAGGCAAAAGGGTGCGCTACAGGTCCTGTAACATCGAGGACTGTCCAGACAATAATGGTGAGTCATACTGCACTTCAGCTGGCAGAAACAGGGCAAAGGAGATGAGCCCATGTGTGGGTGAAAGTTGGAGACTGGAAACATCATCCTATCATTCTCTCTTCAGGAAAAACGTTCAGAGAGGAGCAATGTGAAGCGCACAATGAGTTTTCAAAAGCTTCCTTTGGGAACGAGCCCACTGTGGAGTGGACACCCAAGTATGCTGGCGTCTCACCAAAGGACAGGTGCAAGCTCATCTGTCAAGCCAAAGGCATTGGCTACTTCTATGTTTTGCAGCCCAAGGTAGATACTTTGACACTTGTATACTTGCTAAGGAGCCAAGGGCCTTGGCTTTCTGCCTTTTCATGCAAATGTTTGCGCTCTCTTTACATATTAACCCCGCACATTCAGCTTTGACTTTGGATTACTTCTGAATGCAGGAGTAACTCCTTGCTTTGGGATCTGTGTTGCTTTCAGTTGGGAAGGAAGGTTAAAGCTAGCGAGCATGTGAGAGTCTTGAATGTGTTTAAGGTTGCTCCTTTACCTCCAAAGAATCTCCCTCTGAAAACTCAACAGCCTGCCTCCCTGTATAACTAGGTTTCATAGACAACAATTCATGGTTAGATAAATTATATATTAACACAGCATCCATGAGTTTTAGAAACTAGTCCAAAGTACTTGTTACTGGATACACACACAAACGTACTAATTAAGGTGAGAGTCTAAGTATTGAAAATTCATTGTTGGTGCGTGTACTTTGAACAAAGAGACTCACCTTTTCTTTTGATATTTTGCTGAGGAGATAAGTCTTACTCTGAAGCAGAAAATCAAATTAAATTTGTTTAAGGTTGTCATGGATGCTTAGCGTTGCAAGATAGGAACACATATCTGTATTGCAGATGAAATATTTAGCAAGTGATTTATGAAGTGCAGCATGTAATTCTAGGCACTGAAGCTGGAGCCACAATCAAACTGACCATGAGCCCTACTTCCATTGGCCATGGCAATGGGGGGGGGGGATGTGTCAGTAAACAAATAATCAAGACCCTTATAAACTTTGCAGGTAGCTATTGAAAAAGGCACAATGAAGGGTGGTAATGTGTGGCATGTGAGGGAGAGAATACTTGCAGCATCAGAAAAGAGAGAGAGAGCCAAGAAGAGAGAGTTTCAGCCTCCTTCACATTAGACCTTTAACCACCAGGCACATGTTGTCTTCACAGGTTGTAGATGGCACTCCCTGTAGTCCAGACTCTACTTCCGTCTGTGTGCAAGGACAGTGTGTAAAAGCTGGCTGTGATCACATCATCGACTCCAAGAAGAAGTTCGATAAATGTGGTGTTTGTGGAGGAAATGGCTCCACGTGCAAGAAAATATCAGGATCAGTCACCAGCACAAGGTGAGTTTCAAAACACAGAGTTCAGGAATAGGAAATGTAGCTCAGCTGGGAGAGAGCCGGCCTAGTATCCACAAGACCCTGGGTTCAATCCCCAGCACTGCATAAAACCTGGCATGTACCTATAGTCCCAGGACATGGGGGGTAGAGACAGTGACAAGAGGGTCCAAGTCATCTTTGCCTACATGAGTGAGTATCGAGGTCAGCTTGGATTACATGAAACCCTGTCTCAAAAAACAAACACACAAAAACAAAAGAAGAACCCCAAATACTTCGTGTAATTCCAGGGTTTGGGAGGATGACTACTGTGAGTTCTAGACCAGCCTAGACTATATAGTGAGGTCTAGTATAGCCTGAGCTAAAAGTGAACCCTCGTCCCAACAACCTAAAATTAATTAATTAATCAAAATATGAAACAAAAACATTCTAATTTTGATATACCATTCTGAGGACTGAGGAAATGTCATAGTTAAAAGAATTGCCTATTTTTAAGCAAAGTAGTTGATTAATCAGGGATTAAAAGACCTATAAGGAAAAAGTTGCATTTAAATGAATTGCGTTTTTTTTTTTTTTTTGGTTGGCAAGGTAGTGCATGCCTTTAATCCCAGCACTCACGAGGCAGGAGCAGGTAGATCTCTGTAAGAGGCCAATGTGGTCTACAAAGCAAGTTACAGGACGGCCAGAGAGAGGTTACACAGAGAAACCCTGTCTCAAAAAAAAAAAAAAAAAAAAAAAAAAAAAAAAAGGGTAAAACTGCATGTTTTTAAGCAATGCGGTTGATTGAAAGACATGCCTACTTTCTTTGTCCACAGACCTGGGTATCATGACATTGTCACAATTCCTGCTGGAGCCACCAACATTGAAGTGAAACACCGGAACCAACGGGGGTCCAGAAACAATGGCAGCTTTCTAGCCCTCAGAGCAGCAGATGGTACCTATATCCTGAATGGAAACTTCACTCTGTCCACACTAGAGCAAGACCTCACCTACAGAGGTACTGTCTTAAGATACAGTGGCTCCTCGGCAGCGTTGGAAAGAATCCGAAGCTTCAGTCCCCTCAAAGAACCCTTAACGATCCAGGTTCTCATGGTGGGCCACGCCCTCCGACCCAAAATCAAATACACCTATTTCGTGAAGAAGAAGAGGGAGTCATTCAACGCTATTCCCACCTTTTCAGAGTGGGTGATTGGAGAGTGGGGGGAATGCTCCAAGTCATGTGGATCCGGTTGGCAGCGAAGAGTGGTTGAATGCAGGGACATTAACGGGCGTCCTGCTTCCGAGTGCGCAAAAGAAGTGAAGCCAGCCAGTGCCAGACCTTGTGCAGACCTGCCTTGCCCACACTGGCAGGTGGGGGATTGGTCACCTTGTTCCAAAACTTGTGGGAAGGGTTACAAGAAGAGAACCTTGAAATGTCTGTCCCATGATGGGGGAGTGCTATCAAACGAGAGCTGTGACCCTCTGAAGAAGCCAAAGCATTACATTGACTTTTGCACACTGGCAGAGTGCAGTTAAACAGTTTTGAGAAGAAGGTAGCGTGGGAGGGCTGATACACTGAGATCAGAGCGCTGAAGGGATCCCACGATTCAAACCAGTAACCAGGGAGGCCTGTCAATGAGGCGTAGGGGTGGGGGGTGGGGTGGGGAGGGGGTAACATAGCAAAAGGGGTAGACCAGGACACGATCCTGCCAGTTAAAATTGGATGAGGTAGTTAATGAGAACTTTTAGCATCTGAGAGACCATACGTAGCCCCAGAGCGTTAGTATTTCTCTTGATCCACTTATTGCAGGAACAACTGTCAGAGTCTGGGAGAAATTTTGCAAGCCCTGTCGCATAGTGCTGATTAGATGCTGTGTATCATGGGGGTTGAGAAAGGCAAAGCAGAGGAAAGGTGAGATTGTATTTCAGACATGGATTACTTTATGTCACTGGCAGTGGTGGCAGGCAGAAGGGTACAAGCAAGAGCGTTATTGGAAGTTTCTGACTGTTGGCGTTTCAGAGAATGCTGATACGTCATTTCTACCAATAGTGAAATGTTCAGATTGCTGAACACAGAGAAAGGCCCGCCTCTGTGAAATGGCTCATGATTCCTTCTTACACCCTCTCAGTTTTATAGCTATAATTCATGTTGAGGTAGAAACAATCCACCTATCTATAAAATGTACATCAATTCAAAAAGGAAAAAAAAAAAAAAACCTCAAGGAAGCACAAAGAGCAACATGTCTCTTGCCTTGTCTTCTCCCAAGGTCAGCGCTCGGGGGCTGTGGATATTAAAGATAATCCATGTTTCACAAAAGGCAGTAATATCACACATGTCAATGTCATGCCACATTAACAATGGGGTGTAGAAAACAGGGTCCCATGAGACTGGGACTGTGGAGATCGCTTGTCTTACATGGGAAGCTGCTGAGGGGTAGCAGGTCCACTCCTGGTAGCTGTCCGACAGTCGTATCCTGGTGAATGTCTGTTCAGCTCTTCTACTGAGAGAGAATATGACTGTTTCCATATGTATATGTATATAGTAAAATATGTTACTATGAATGATATGTACTTTATAAGTATTGGTTTGTTTGTTCCTTCTAAGAAGGACTATAGATTATAATAAATGCTTATAATAACATATTTATTTTTATACATTTATTTCTAATGATAAAACCTTTAAGTTATATCGCTTTTGTAAAATTGCATATAAAATAGAGTATTTATACAATATATGTTAACTAGAAACAATAAAAGAACACTTTTGAATGTGTATGTCTATTTTCTGAAGTGGGATTAATTCCTGGGCAAGAAATCTGATGAGACACAAATATTGGATTTTGAGACAGTTTTTACGATTTTGGTGAATGAACTGTATTCCTTGATTGTAGAAATACTAATAGGAAAGAAGTTGATGGTGTCTTTAGTGATAAGATTGTTACTAATGTGGTTGGCAAATACTGTAAAGAGTCAGATAGTATTTATGGTATTGTAGGCTAAATTTCCTGTCATAACCATGTGACAGCGAATGCTTTTGTAGGAATGAGAACAGCCATAAATGACATGTAAATAATTATCCATGGCTGTGTTTTAATAAAACTTTATTTACAAAAACAAATGATGGGCCAGATTTGTTCTGTGAGCTTGTTTGCCAATCCCCAATGTGATAAAAGTAAATGGAAAATGATTCAGCTTATAGATGCATTTTTGGTTTTTTTTCCTCCCTTATTTATGTCAAGTAAGTAAGAATATATGAACACACTTAAGGTATTGAGTAGCAACAGTGCCTCATACATTTGGGACAGATATGAATGGTAAGCTAACACTTTGAAATCTTTTCCTCCTTCAAGAGTAATACCAGTGTGTTTGCTAGAAATCTAGGACTCTAGACTTTTGTAAATCATTGTATTTTGACAACTCAGTTGTGCATAAGTAACTACAAATTCAAATTATTTTCATTATTATGTAGCATTCAGAAAATTGCTAGAAAACTGACAATGTACTCAATTACTGACATTTCTGATTCTTCATCATATTTTTTCCTACAAACAAGATGCTAACTTCAGCTTTGGTTTCTTAGCAATGAAATGAATGTAGTGGTACTAGGGACATTAATTGGGTTAACTTTTTATAATGCCAGCTATAAGACCTAAAGACAAAACTAAAGTCTTTACACATCATTGAATAAGCCTTTAAATGCAAAACTTGACTATGTAATCCAATAGCCCTTGTTGCTATGTGCCTGCAACCTTTATTAACATTGACTTGACGTTTAGTATGGTACAAATTCCTATGGAGAGCGACTAGGAAAATATGTGCCCATAAACCCTGACTGCTGTCTTCCACACATGATACCCGATCAAAGGTTCATATATTGCCATGAAAACCTATAACAGGAAAAAGTCCTTTATTGAACCTTCCTCATTCACTAAAAGATTTATTGAACTTTCACCAAGAGATATTTTTTTTTCTTAAGCGGCCTTAGGAGATGATGTAACAAGCAACAACTCAGAACGTGAGCCTGGCAAGATAACTCAGTAGTTAAGAGCACTTGGAGCTTACAGAGGACCCTAGTTCAGTTCCCTAGTTCATAGTAGCTCATAATCATCTGTAACTCAATTACAGGGGATTCAACACCCTTTTTTGACTAAACCAAACAACTAAGTGAAATGATAAATGAAGACAGGATTTGAAATCTGAATTCAAAGAAGACATAGAAATACTGAAAAGCTGAAAAGCCAGGTAAAACTGAATCATTCAAAATTAGAAAACTCACAGGTGAACCCCACTGACCTAAAGGGTCAAGCAGAAAGCATGTCAGGACTTGGAGAGAAAGTAAATGTAAATTTACTTGTGAAATTTCCAGAGAATAAATAACGTTATAAAAATTGGAATTTTAAGCAAGACCCAAAGGAGTATATAAAGATGAATCTAAATCAACAAAACAATTGATGAAATGAATAATGCATAGAGACTTACTGACATCACAGTTCACATTCTACTGCTGTGATAAAACACCACAACCAGAAGCAACTCGTATAGAGGGTTTATTTAGTGTGTATATCCTGATCACAGCCAATCTTTGAGGGAAGCCAAGTCAAGAGCTCATGCCAGGCAGGAGCATGGAATCAGGAACTGAAACACGACCCATAGAAGAATGCTGTTAACTGACCTGCTCAGTCTGCTTATACAGCCCAGAATAAGCTTGCCAGAGGTGGCACTGTCCACTATGGACTGGGCCTTTTCATGTCAATTATCAACTACCAGTCTGATGGAGGCAATTGATCACTTCAGAGTGTCACTTCATACAAGTATCTGTGTCAACCTAATAGAAGAAGCAACCGGCTTGCCATCCCACAGTCATACCATGAACAGTATCATTGGTTATGTAAACTTGACAATGTCGTATTATAAGCTCCTAGACCCTTTCTTTCTAGCAGCCAGAGATAGAAAGTTTTAAAAGAGAGGCTGAAAACAGAACTGAAGTTACAGACTCGGGAATACAGCTGAAAGATTTAACACATAGGCAAGGTTGGGAGATCTTTGATTTATTTATTTATTTTTTGTCTGTAGCTCTTCTCATGAATCTCCTTCATGAAATTTGTCTTTCGTTTTCTTCTTTCAAGAGGCCTAAGAACTGATCTGCATTTCACAAGAAAGCAAAGCTGTGCACTGCAAAGAATTCAGGGACAGGACAACCGCTGAGCTGAAGAAGCATTGGAAGTTTCATCTAACTTTTCTCTTGTTTCCAGGTGGCTTACTTGGTTCTGGGACACTCAGAGTATTTAGCTCCAAAGTTTTCACCAAAATTACTAATTGGATCAGAACCTGGGCTTGCATATCTTGTCCTCTCAGAGTATGACAGAGGTGACAATAAAAGGTACACGTATTCCAAAGAGGGGAAAGGAAGCTCAGGAGCAAACATTGTCTCAGGGCTTGATAAACAAATTCTCGACAAATGAAAATGGGCTTGAGGCCTTCATTTTAAACAATAAGGTACCACTATCTAAAATATTCACTTGCTGTGTGTCCCTGAACAAGGTCTTTTGCCCTTAAAGACCCGTGGAGATGATGTCTACTAAATAAAGTACAAGGAATTCAGAAATGTTCTTTGTAACAGTGGGATAATATCTTCTAGTAATTGGATGTTAATTGAATCTTTTAACTTGTAATTAAAAAATAAAGATAACGTCCTATGAGTGAGCAGTAGTGATAATATGGAAAGGAAAAGCAACTAACAGTGATCATAGTTTGGTGTGAATTTATGTACACATTTAAATTTGGTTTCCAAATTCAGCCTGTAGGCCTGCTAAAACTTGCAGAATATCTTGTTTATCTTTGCTCTGTCAACTTCCTAACCTCCAGCTTCAAAAATTGGATGCTTAAAATTATGCCATTGTGATCTCTTAAAAATGTTTATTGTCATGCATGTGCATTTGAAGCCCTTAAATATTAAAAAAAAAATAGTAAACAATCCTTAACACCTAGAAAACTCTTGATCTCATAAATTATGAATGTTTCTAGGAAACAGGCTGGAGAGTACATGAGATGTTGAACACCTGTGATCCCACCGCTTTATCATTGGATAAAGAGTTAAAGATCAACCAAGGCTACAAAACAAGACCTCTCTTAAAACTAAACAAACAAAAAATACAGAGACAATTGAAATACATTAGAATAGTCTTAATATGCTGGGTTTGTGCATATGAGCTGTGTACGTGTCTAAGTGTGTCTATGATTGGCACCCTGGCCAGTCCATTGAACGGAGACAATCCACTTTCAATGCAGGCAGACAACGTTTAACATACTGGAGATGTGGATGGTTCAGGATTCCAGAAATCATAAAGTCTCTCTGCCTCGTCTTCGTGAAATGGTCAAGTTATTCTCTATACTTCTCTTGGACACTGGGCTTCAAGTCCCAAGGTTGTGAGATTCTCAAGAAGGTCCTCTAGTGTCCTCAGGGATCTGAAGAGTCTGAAATCTTGAATTTACCACACCATTGAGATTCCTAGAAAATTGCCGGTTTGCAGCTAGGAAGGGAGGAAACCATTAAGCCTCCGTTGTTAATTGTGCTGGAATCCTGGCTGCTCAGCTTCAGGCCTCGTCTAAACTCTAGAGTGAGGGTCTCCTCCCCTTAC